CCTAATACCCATATTCCCTTAGAAATCACATGATCTCTCAAGAAAAAGAATTGAAATTATAGGATGAATATATTTTTAAAAATTTAAAATATATATAGTATTTTATTAATAAGTTTTATTTAAGTCTTTTCATATTTAATTCAAAAAAATCCTTTCTATTTAAAATTTATTCAAATATAATAAACCCTACTACAATATTTACGATAACGTGAATCTTACAAATTAAGTGAGGGTTTAAATATTAAGTTATATTTAATTATCAATGAAAAAATGTTAAAACATTTGTATTCTTTATATAGTCCTAATATATAACGTTAATAAATAAATAGTCACTAGAAAATAAAAGTAATATTGTACTATGCAAATCCGTTTATGAAAACTTCTGTTAGTTTTAATTATTCAAAATCATTTTTTCAACAAATCTAAGTAATGCAAAAACTGTAATAATAAAAGTCTACTAATCTGATGATTTTACTATATATTACTAATTAAGCAGAATTTTGTAATAATTTATATAAATCTTAATTTGATATGATGAGTTATGATACATATGTATTTTTAAGAAGAGATATTTTGCTTAGACAAATGAAAAATCACCAAAAGATAAAAAGCAGTGATAAATATAATATAAGAAGATTATAAAATATACTTCAACCAATACAAATATTGAATCAAATGGGAATAAAAAAAATTTAGATATTTTATTCTGATTATTAGAAGTAAACTACTTAATTAAAATTTATTAAACAATTACTTCATCTTCAATATCAACAGATTCTAGAATAATAAATTTTACAGAATTTTCATCGCAGTAGCTTCTAAAATTAGGGAAATCATCCGAGGAAATAAATATAACTTCACCTTCAATTCTACAATCAAATAGTTCAGTGATATTTGGTATTTTATCTGATAATTTTATTCGCATTTCAAGCTTCTTAAACCCTAAAGGAATTAATTTCCTTATAATTTCTTGGGCTTGTACCTTGGGATTTCCCTGTTCTATTGAAATTGAAGAAACAATTTTCTTTAAATAATGCACACTTAAGAATTTGCCTTGGAATAGCAACTTTCTTTGTAGAAGTGCAATAATCTCATTTTCAGTTTGCCTGATTTCTGCATTCCTAGTTTTTGAAGCCTTTTGCTCAGTTCCATAATTCAAGATTTCTATAATAATCTCCTCCTTAGATTTATGGAACATAATTAGTAAATCATCAGGGCATATTTCTGCTTTAGATACATTCATAAAAATATTTTTAGAAAGTAGTACATCATCTAATTCTATTTTTTTATTTCTATAGTCATTAAGTTTGTTTGGTTGTATCGCAACTTCATATCTATTACCATATTTTCTTAGTGAAACTACACTTACGTTTGTATATTTTTTAACATTTTCTGGTAAAAACATATTTTAAAAAAAATTATATAATTTAATAATAAATATAAAAATAAGTTTTTTTATTTTTAAATGGAAATTAAAAGTAGATTTTATAAAAATTAACCAATATTCTTTGTTAAAATAATTTGAATATGCTAACTAATAAGATAATCAAACCTTTTAAATAAAATGACATCCTTTGTTAGATTTAAAGGGAAATTAAAAGTAGATTTTATAAAAATTAACCAATGTTCTTTGTTAAAATAATTTGAACATGCTAACTAATAAGATAAAACTACTTTTTAAATA